TCAAATCTTTGAGTTTGTTACTCAAAAATTCGTTAAAGTTTTACAAAATATGAAATCGATTATAAAACAAATTTCAAATTTCAAATTTGGGCTTCCACATGCCCATATCCGTAAGGGGATTACGTCATTCAAAATTCGGTGGCTCTAGGTATCATTGTTATTGTTTTATCACAATGTGAAAAAAATACATACATTTATGCAGATTTTTCATTATTTAATTTCTTCAAATATAATGTAGGACTCTAACATTTTGTGGCAACAGTTTGAAAAGTGAAACAGACATTTATAGTGATTCATTCCAAAATCGCAAAACGAAAACAATAATCCTTCAGGGACAAAGCTCCTTTGGACTAATTACTTCAAAAAGAAAGTCATTTAAAAACATCAGAAAAACTATGTCTTTATTGTACAGCATTCAACCAATCCTTTTAAGAGCTTTCTATTTCTTGTCTTCTTAATTTTCTGTGGGTTCCTTCTCATGTGGGCCTTTTTGGCAATGTGGGGATAGCTGATACTATAGCTAGAGTGGCTGTTGCTGATGCATCTCATCAGGCTTGATTCTCTCTACCTTAGAATAATTTTCTATTTGCAAGACGCCTGGAGTGCGGCACCTATCCAGAGTTGATACATCAATGGTCGCTCTGAGAGCTAGATTAACCATTAGGCAAAATAAGGATGTGCTTAGGGCATCAAGGGGCATCACAAAAGCACAAAAATATTTAGGAACTCAGTATTGAGGGTCACCACAAAACGTTTAGATGCCGATTTTGCCATGGAATCTACCAACACAGAGAGAGAAGGAATGGGTAAAAGTTGGTATAAATGTATGTGCAGGCACCAAAATCTTGAGTGCTTGGGGCCTCTAGGAGTTTGAATTCTGCCTTGGGCGCCCTGAAGATGGTGTTCTTTCAAAGGTTACAGGTGCAATCAGACTGCATTAGCAAATCTGTCAGTGGCCTTTTTAAGTGTCTCAAATTCGATCGATATCGTAAATCATTTTTCATTCGCAATAAAGGCAATTGTGTACTAGCCAGCTATTTATATCTTCTTCCCAGCATTAATTTTATCAAAGAGAAATTCTTTGCGATTCTACACTCGGTTTTAGTTTTCTGAAGAATAATGAACTCAACAACTCTCTACCTTTCACAAGAAAGCTAACAGTTCATCTACATCTGATTTTTTTCATTTGTGTTGCATCAGAGATTGAAAAATGAGCAACTCCTTCGCGGAAATCGAGACGCGGACCTCTGGAATAAGCACCCAGCGTACAGACCACCACACAACGAAGACATGCCAAGAAGGCGGGAGAAGTATCTTATATACTCTCCCTTTTAAATGCGACTGGGGTCTTAAAGGACCCAATCGCAAAATCCTGGGTGTGGAGAATCATCATCCCGACACCCTTTTAGTTCGGGAGCCACTGTATAGACATTAGGTATTTTGGAAGCAGGAAAAATGAATATGCAACGCCTTCGTCGGAAATCGAACCTCGGGCCTCTAGAATACACGTCCAGTGTGCAGTCCACCACACAACGAAGGCATGCCAAGAAGGCGGGAGAAATACCTTATAGTGTGACTGTCACTATTATTTTAAAAGTCGTTAATACCACCATCATGTATAACCATTCCATCAGAATTCCTCAAAAGAATTCTTACTTTATCATTACTATATCTGACAAAAAGAAAATCACGTTTAACTCCGAGGTTTGAAGGTATCGTAGCTATTTAGTTACACTAGACTTTAAAGCTTAATCTTTGAAAACAAAATTTGCTTTAAAATGTTTTATAACAGACGTGTAACAATAGATTTCTGTTTTTAAATGCCAACATATTGGAAGCTTCCTGTTTAAATCGTCTTACGGAAAAATCGAGCTTAAAATATTCTTTCGCTGTTCATTGTAATGTACCATTCTGAACAGCTAAATAAACTAATTAAATTTTATTCCAATATTCTGAACAAAACTTAAAACATATGAAATTGCATTTTGCTCACAGACAGTAAAAAGCATTTTTAGATTGCCATTTAAATGAAATTGTGTGCAACATATTCCATTTTTTTATTTTGAAAATATGCTGTTGTAAGTCAAAATAAATTTCGAGTCAGTAATAGTCTTTTGAGAAATTGAAATACTGTATATTTCATATGCGCTTATACTGTATATTTCATATGCGCTTATACTGCATATTTCATATGCGCTTATACTGTATATTTCATATGCGCCTATACTGTATATTTCATATGCGCTTATACTGTATATTTCATATACGTTTATACTGTATATTTCATATGCGCTTATATTGTATATTTCATATGCGCTTATACTGTATATTTCATATACGTTTATACTGTATATTTCATATGCGCTTATACTGTATATTTCATATGCGCTTATACTGCATATTTCATATGCGCTTATACTGTATATTTCATATGCGCTTATACTGTATATTTCATATGCGCTTATACTGTATATTTCATGTGCGCATATAAGTTCTGTATTAGTTAAAATCTTTTAGATATTCTTCTCACCTTCTTAGCATGCCTTCGTGGTCAGCATGCTGGGCGCGTATTCCAGAGGTCCGCGGTTCGATTCCCGGCGAAGATGTTGCTCATCTTTCACTTCCCTTGCTTCCAAAAAAATCCTAATGTCTCTACAGTGGCATCCGAACTAAAAGGGTGGTGAATTATGATTCTCCACACCCAGGATTTGGCAATTGGGTTCCCTAAAAACCCCAGTCGTCCTTTAAAAAGGGGAATATATAAGGTATTCTTCCCGCCTTCTTAGCATGCTTTCGTAGTGTAGTGGTCTGCGCGCTGGGCGCGTATTCTAGAGTCCGCGGTTCGATTCCCGGCGAAGGCGTTGCTCATTTTTCATCACTCCTTCCAAAATATACCTAATGTCTCTACAATGTATTGAAAGTTCTACTGAAAATGTTTGTAGAGTGGCTCCCAAAAGTGTTCGTATATTAAAGAGTTTCAGAGAAATATTGCTTTATTCATTAATAAAACTTAATATTTGAGAATAAGAATTTTTAATAATACCTATAAATTTATATAAAAGAAAAAGGTCTTAATAAACTAAAAATGTTTTGGAAGTTTTAACAATTGATTTGGATCTGGCTTTAAATATCCATTCGAATAAAGATTGTTGGAAGTACTAAATAAAAATCAGCTTAGTATTCATAAATTTTCAAGAATTATGAATATCACACTAATTCTTTCTTGTTGGTTTATCACCTCCAATAATGACTGATTCTATATTTAGGATTAAAATAAGTAACAGACATTGTCTTCAAATTAATTGCTCTATGAAGTAAAACTAAATCAAAAAATGATAGAAAATATGGAATAGATGTTGTAAATTAAATTTTGATGACTGACTTTAAGTTATCATTTCATGTATAATTACTGTAGCATTTCTTTACAAAATCAATTTAAAGGTAAATATCTAATATGTAATAATTATTTTCCGTGCAGTGTACTGCCTCGTGTAATTGTGTGAACAAGATGAAAAAACTATTTTTATAAAAAATACACTATAGCATTTTTACTTCCTTGTACGAAATAAAAAGGAAGTATTGTAATCGCGAAAAGTTTCAGGCAGCATATTTCAACGATAATATCCATTTTGACCGCTATCGAATGCAATTTAACGATGTTTTTGCGTGATATCTGTACGTAAGGAAAGAATAAAATACTCTTTTCCTCCATATATATATATATATATAAAACTGCTTTAAAATGAATTCCGAAGAGAATTTTTCGTGACGTCTGTACGAACGTATGTACTTACGTATGTATCTCGCATAACTAAAAAACGAGTAGCCTCAGAACGTTGAAATTTTGTATATAGGACTGCTATAACATGTAGATGTGCACCTCGTATTTTGGTTGCAATCGGCCGTACAAACGTATATAAATATATTTGTATATATATCCACTGTGTTACCCGGCTCATTGATCTCAGTTTCTTTACTCATATATGGTCGTAAATTGTACATTTTTTGCTTTAAAAATGATTGAATTATATTGTTCTTATCTTCCGGTTAAGGTTTTTATACCTTTAGTAAATCTGTATGCAATATTTTTAGAATTATCAACAATTTTATAGTTGTTTGAGTGCGCTAAGCCTAATATTTTTTTTTTTTGTTGGCGGCCATTGCTTGTTTACATCTGAAACAGCAGGATAGTGGACTTGTTGCCGATCTAGAGAAGCATAGCTTCACAACAACAAAGATAACGCCTTCATTTATTATTGCGAATTAAATCATGCTTAATCCTTTCGGGAATTTTTTTCGAGGAAATAAGTGTTTGAGATTTAATTCGTAATTTTTAATACAGATATTTTGAGTTTTTATGTATTTTTGCCTTGTCGCGAAGTGAGAACTGAACTTAATTGAATGAGAAATACTCAAGTCTGTGAAAAACTATTTTTTTTTTTTTTTTTTTTGCTTAATATTTTTTATACATCGTTCTAGCTTTATTATAGTATTTGAATAGAACATGTGGCAACGATTAGATAATTCTTTAAATGATATCAATTTGTGCATTATGAGTTATAATATGAACGAAATATAGTACTGTTAAGTGAAGCTAGCGCCAGAGTGTCGCTATGGTAAACAAATAGAGTGAATTTTAAAGAATGCATTTATTCTATTGTGGTTTGTGCGCTGTCGGCGAAGTGGATTTAATTCAATCCAATAAATTTAATTTGAAATGCAAGAAGAAATGCGTATAATTTAATATTCCGTACAAGGAAGTCATGTGGTGTACACATCAGATTTTTTTATAAAAATCGTTATATGAAAAAAATTTTTTTTTTTTTTTTTTTTTTCATTTTAATAAAAACTGATTTAGAATGAAGACAAAAATATATATACTGAATTCAAAACGCACTTGTTTCTTCAATATGCTTTAAAGGTTAAATTAAAAAAATATTACTTAAAATATGGATAATGTATAAAGGCTGAAGTTTAGCTGGAATTATCATAAATAAAAATTAATTTTTACATAAAACGTTTATTTCTTCTTTTTTCACTAAAAGGTATGAGTTACAGTATATACATATTTCACCTGGCAGTGAAATGATTCGCTTACAGTATTATATGTACACATTTCATTTATGAGGTGATGACTTTTTTACACATTGGCAGTACTTCTTCGAATGGAGACTGGAAAATAGGGGTGACTTCACCCACAATGGTGATGATGCTCTTGGAAAAGCTTAGCAATAAGCCCAGCAACCATGAGCTGCTCGAGACCATTTCCACTGTTGCCTCGATGCTTCATCATCATGGCACAAGTCTCTTGTACCAGTATGGATCCCAAGATGAGGAATACCAATGCGAAACAGATGAGTTTCATGCCAGGAGCCATAGTTAGACGATTAGATCTAAAATGAGAAATTAGACTTCATAATGAAAAAGAAACGAATGTACCCGTTAATTATTTTCGTCTGATTTATCACAATTGAAGTGAAAATTGAAAAGAAATGGAGGTCCATATACAAATGTGTAATTCAGCATTACCTTACTGTAAGTTAAATTACTGTAGAACTCAAATTTTTTATAACCATATTAAAAATATTCTAAGACGTCTCCCTTGGACAACGGTATTTATTCGGGTGTTTTCCCCTGTCCTTGGGTATATTCCACACAAGCGTTTCAGCACGAGGTTCCGTAATTTTTCTCTTCCACAAGACATTCAGAAAAGGCAGCTCCCTGGAATTTCAAAATGGGTTCGTCCACTTAACGACTGTTTTCGTCTTATTAATTTGGCGCTTCAAATTTGGGTCCACGGTCTCTGATTGATGAAGATATAATAATAACGAGTTTAAATAATAGGAGATATCTAGTTTTCTTGAAGGTTTTAAAGACCATTACACGGGAAGAGATTGAGAAACAGTTACACTTAGTGCGATGCTTTTATCTTTTTAATTATAATAATATTTCCATCACATGAAATAATAGTAAATATGATTTAATACTTTGATTTCAAATATTAATGAAAAGTTCATTGCATGAAAGAAATACCAGTAGATCATTTATTGCATTTGACTGATTTTGGTGTGGTTTATTTGATTACTGCAAAGCACTCGACAGCTATCTGTTTAAAAGGAGAGATACTTTCGTGATGGGCATACTAAGGGAAACTTACTGGTGTACATATTACACATGGGAAAACCCACGAAAGCGTCCGTGGAGCAAATCTGTAATTGGTTTGCCAATCGGTTTGTCGGGATTCGAGTCCTGGATCGAAATACCAGCGTTCAGCATTTTTGGTGCGTCGTTGGTGCGCCTGCATTTGACTGAATTACTCAAATTCAAGACACTATTTAAACTGCTAAGCCACCAGCGGCCCAGCCATAAAGTCTCAGAACACTGTTAGTTCGGTCCGAGGTTCGAATCCCGCGATCGGGCTGGCTGCATGGGCGTTTTCATAGATTTTCACATCTGTAACATGTTAATACGAGCCAGTCTCCCTTAGAAAGGCATCCCACCCTTCCGTGTAGTGCCTTAGGGCAGAGCATCATCATCATAATAATAATTAAATTGCTGTATTTATGGCTGCATGTCAAAGGCAACCTCATATATCTGAAGAAATCGCCCTTTGTCCGCCACATCACATGCAAACTGTATGAAATCAAATTTGCTAAAGATTGGTAAAAAAAGCTTGCAAATGTTACAAGGTATATGTCCTAAAAATACAATAATTTCTCATATTCAACAGCTTTTTCAAAAAGTATATGAGAAGAAGTATATTTTTCAAAAGGTATGAGAAGTTTCCCATGAAATCTTTATAATTCAAGAAAACAGTAAACATACCATTCTATTGTAATTAATGAAAATAGTAAACATTCCGTTATTATTTCTCCAAACTGTAAGTAACGCAAACCGCTTTGTTGATATATATAAATAAAAAATCCAAAAAAAAAAAAAATTAAAACTTCATCTCATGTCTGCTTTCTAATTGTCTGCAGAAGATTAAGCCTTAAGTGTAGTATTCAATACTTTGACCAGACCATATTGAAAACGGTAACTAAGTTAGGAGTAACCAATTAGCAGCTAAGTGAGTTAATAACGGTTAAAGAAAACGGTTAATAACAATTAATAAGTTACAGATAATTAACAGCAGTTACATTAAGTTAATTAAAGTTAAGTAAGTTAACTGTTAATTAGAAATGATAAAAAAATAAGATTAACACGGTTGATAAGTTAGATATAAACGGTAAAAAATAACTTTTATGTATTACAAAAGCTTTTATATTTCAAGGTAAACGGTAAGTAATAACTTTTGTCTATTATAGAAGCATGTTCGTTAATGTCAAGGTTACGGGGACTGCCACTTCTGTATCCCTAAATGAGGATTTTGACTGATTTCAAAACTACATCCTTTTACTAAGGCAGTCTACTAGAACGTCTTAAATGATTATCTTCGTCTTTCCCTAATTTTTCCGATCTTAAATGCATGAGCGAACAAAACATGAAAGAAAACTAACGAAAACTTTTGCAATTAATTAATTGAAATTAATTAACTCATAAAAAATATTAATTTTTTATTCTATATGATACCTTACTCAGCGTTATCTTTACATCGATTAGTACAGAAAATAATTTACAGACTAATAATAATTTTGTGATGCTGCAAGCAAAAATTCGAAGAGAGTATGTTTTAGTTTGTTATCTTTCTTTAAAAGAATTGGTAAATTAATTTGTTTTTCAGCTTAAGTTAAAATGTTTCTTTTAATGTAAACTGCATTTGCGAAAGAAATTAATATCAGGCATGCAATTTTTAATAATTTTTAAACCTTAAAATAATTTTATGTGCAATCCCACGCAAAATCAAAGCAAAAAATTCTTAGTATTTTTCGTAATTTAAAGAAATGTTGTTGCATTTGCAGACGACAATGTACATACTAAACTGAATTTTTGGATTTTAAACTGAAGACTGTTCTAATGCATAAAATGTTGTCAAAAATATAAAATAAATTAAGTTTTCTTCTGGTGTATAGTATATTAGTACATAATTAATTACTAAGGAAATCAGTTAGAATAAAATATGCCTGGTGAACTGTGCTTTAACGGTTAGAGTTCTGGAGTAAATTTATTAAGCTTGCACGTTTTGTTATTCGTTTATCAATTTTATATGTTTTTCCTTTGAGGTTTGGCAACACCAATTTTTAGTTGCACAGAAACAAACTGCGTGTAGTTTTGTTTACAACTATTAGTTTACGGTCAGTTTAACATGGGGTGCAAAAAAAAAAAAAAAGTTTTCAATATATTTTACTATTTTGTTTTCATTAAATGCGAGAAAGCTGCTCAATCTGACAAAGAGATATGTGAAGATTATGGTGTTGATTGCTTAACATAACACATGTATCGGAATAGGTATAAAAACACCTTTCTGGATATATTTCACTTGAGGATCGTCAAAGTTCTGGCCGACCTTCTGAAGTTCATGGTGATAAAATTAAATCCACAATTGAATCTAATCGTCATATTACTGTGTGACAGATTGCAAAATAGTTAAATAAATCACACACAACAATTGAAAATCACATAAGATGTCTTGGACTCGTTAAGAAGCTCGATATTTGGGTTCCACATGAACTGAAAGAAATCCACTTAACACATCGAATCAATATTTGCAATACGCATTTCCAGAGTAATGTAGTCGACCCTTTTTTGAAAGAAATTATCATTGGCGCTGAAAAATGGATGGTCTACAATAATATATCGAAAACGTTCATGGTCCAAGAGTGATGAATCAGCGCAAATCATATATAACGCTAAATTGTATCAGAAACAGATTATGCTGTCAGTTTGGTGGGAATACAGGCGTTGTGTATTTTGAGTTGCTTCTCAGCAAATAAACGATCAACTTAGGTGTTTACTGCGAACAACTTATGAAACTGGAGCAAGCAATCAAAGGAAAAAGGCCGAAATTGGCAAATAACCTAGGAATTGTGTTCCACCACAGCAGTGATAAGCCTCACTCGTTTTTAGCAGCAGGTACGAAATTATTAGAGCTTGGCTGGGATGGGATGTCGCATCCTCCATATAGCCCCTAACTGGCACCAATTGAATTTTCATTTATAATGTTTACAAAACATCCTAAATAGTAAACATTTCAGTACTAACGATGACTTCAAATAGTACTTGGTTGAAGTTTTCGCTGATAAAGACCAGAAGTTCTGTTAGCTCGCATTTATGAAGGAACAAGAAAGACGGCAAATGGTCATCGAACAAATTGAAATATTTTTGACTGATTAAAGTTTATTTTTTTCATAGAAAAAATCGAGTTTTATTTCACACTAAATAACCGATATTATTTTTTTATGCTAATCCAATAATTTATTCCGAAAATGTATATAATTTAATTTTAAGAAATGGTAATACTTAGCCCTAAAAACATTCGATAGCTCAATTTTTGAATTTTGTTTTTACAAGAGTTAAAGTTTGGGTTTAATGCTTCTGATTTTATTTTTCTTATTAAAACTGAATATAAAAGGCAGTAAAATTAATGTGTCAGATAAATAAATCAAATTCTTCACTGCACTTAAGTAACATGTTTCTTTCTATTTTTGAAATTTTAAAATGAGTTTTAACCTTTCAAAAGTTTCGAATCTGCTACAAATACCTCTTCCATACACTCTTGTTCATTTTTCATCTGGATACCACATTCATTCGTTAAGGGCCCACAAGCGGCCGAGCGGTAAAGTCGCTGAACACTGGTAGTTCGGTCCGAGGTTCGAATCCCGCGAACGGGCTGGCTGCATGGGCGTTTTCGTGGTTTTCCCCATGTGTAACGTGTATACGAGACAGTTTCCCTTAGAAAGTCCTCCACGAAAGGCATCCCTCTCCTTAGGCAGATAGCCCTAGTGTGCTTTGCCAGAATTATATACACCACACCACACCATTCGTTAAGAGTGTTACCAAATGAACGCTTTTTATTTCATATACATTCTCATTTTTAAGTTTAAATCCTTATTTATTAAATAATAGGATATTTTCATGCAGTGAAATTAATATTCTTCGGAAACTAATAAAAATATCTTGCTAACGATAACGTTCCTACCAGACTTCTTTAAACTGCACAGGAAAAAGGTTTTTTTAAGACTATGAATAGGTTTGGTTTAGTTTATCATGACAAACACACTAAAGATTTCTATCTAAGGGGAGGGAGACCTTCGCGAAGGACTTTCTACGGGGAAATTGGTTCGTATACGTATCACATGGGGAAATATATGCAAAAATCCATGCAGCCAACCGGTTTGCCTGGCTTTGAACCCGGGTCAAAACTACCAGTGTTCAGCGATTTTACCGCTCTGTCGCTAGTAGGCCTAGCTATCAATAGGAAAACGCGTTAAACATCTATAACAGAACTGTTTAATTTTGCAATGTATCAAAAAGTTTTGCTTGTTTAAGAATTCCTCAAAACCATTTATATTTAAGAAAGTTAAAGACTTTATAAAGTCATTAGGTATTGGGAAGCAGGAGGCTGGAAAATGCGCAGTGTCTTTGCTTTGTTTTGAACTCTGGACCTTCCGATTCTAGCTGGACCTGCTTTCCAATTATACCACAAAGGCATGAGTTAAGAAGGGAGTAAAAACCCTTGCAGGTTTCTTATTTAATTAAGTCCATATGAATGGAAAGGATTTTTGAAGTAAGGAAAATTACATTTTTTCATGGCATCATAATTTGTGTCAGTTATTAGTGACATACTTTTTGTGTTTATTTCAGTTAAATAATCTAATAATCAAGAAGAATACATTAACTTATTTAGATTATGACAAAGCATGCGAAGGTAAACCACGTCTAAAGGCAGAGAAAACGTCTTGGAGGACGTTAAAGAAAAGGCCAGTTCATATTCAAGTTAGACAAGAGAAAGATATGAAGAAACCCTATACTGCTAGCCTAATTACCAGGATTTGAAGTCGAGTCAAAATACCAGTATCCAGTTGTTTTGTAGCTCGACCGGTGGTTAACAGTCTAAAACGGAAAAATTGCATTTGTGAATATTTTTAAAACTTAATTTTACTCCAAGGTAAATGGTAACTAATACCAAATTATCCTATCTAGTTTATAAAGTGACTATACAGCCGTGATTTTTGTAGTAATTTTTAAAATGTTCCTTAAATTCGTACATTATTACAAATAGATCAGTTAAAATTTTTAAACTTTTACAAATATATTACCTGTGCTAAAGCAGACTGTTAGAAGAGCTGTAAGAGCGGTAGGTTTCAAGTGTTGACATGAACGAAATATTTTCCTTTTTATACTGTTTTGGAAAAGTGTTTTTTAGGCCTTGTTCTAAAAACCTGGAGGAAGAAAGAAACAAAAAAGAACTGAAAATAATACCAGAAATTAGAAATCCATCCGGAATTCATTAGAGATTATTTTCTCTGTTTGATACCAACCTCATCCTGAGTGTTCTAGCATTTTGATACCGCGTAAGGAAACATAATTTCAATGTTAACCGCAGTTAAAGGGAACTTTCCATTTCCTTCCTCGTTGTCCGTTAAGAGCAAGTTGTTGATTTTGGAGGATAAGGCAGAAGAAACAATTTGTCTCGAGCTGTTGCTTGTAAAATCGACATCCATCGCAGGAAGTGATTATGGTGCTAGAGGAAATGTTTGTGACGGTTGGGTAGAGATGTCGCGTTCCTTCCGTTTTTGAATTAAAATAATGCTCGGTTTATTAAGTTTAATATTTTACCTCTTTTCTTTATTGATGTCTGTGTTTATATCGGAATTATTTTTTTTTCTTTAATTCGTCTACTTCCTGATATTTAAAGTGTGAAGTGATGATTATGAGATCCATTTTAAGGATTTGTCCTAAATATGTTAAGTTGTTTGCGTTCGATTTCTGTTATAGTTTCTGATTTCATTCCACTATTATCTAATTTTGGGTTTAATTTAGTCCTCCATGTTAACGTTATGTAGGTATATAATTTTGTGTTCTTATGTAGACCTTGCACGCACAAAAAAAGGGTACATTTCTATATCTTTCATTCTACCGGGCTAATTGACGAAATTTAACCTGCATTTTTCATGTGCCGAAAGCGTGACTTGTTTATTAGATTTATATGTAGCATTTTTCTAACGTAGGTATTCTGATATAAAATTGGACTTTTTCTGAAATGACGTACCTATTTTTGTTTCATATTTTGATTCTACGACTCAAATTATTCCAAAAGTGTCACGTTTTGTGAAAACAGCAAGAGAAGTTCTTAAAAAATTAGCTCTCAAAATATTAGCTTTTCAATATTAATTAAATTTCGTGTACATTTATTAATATCTCTTTTTTATTAAACTTTGTACACATTTCAAATTTTAGGTTAAATCCAAATAAAATTCGCAGTACATTTTAAAGAAGATGAGTTTCTAGATAGGTCTATAAAAAATGAGAGACCTTTATTCAAAAATTTCCAAGATTACGAGAATTTATGTTTTAGCGCGTTTTCAAATATGACATATCTGTTATAAGCAATAATAACGCCAAATGTAGTTTACGCACTTTGCTAAAATTACTTGAAAGAATTAAACGATGCAACTTTTTATTCGCTCGTACACAAAGAAAGGCAAAGGAAAGAAGGTTGCCATAAAATAAAAATTTTGCCAAGGGAATTTTTCTTGGTCTCGTCTTGAAACCGGACTTTTTTTTTGAAGAAGTACCTATTTTCCTATATTTCGATTCTACAACTTAAATTATGCCAAAAGTGCTAAGTTTAAAAATAGCAAGGGTAGTTTTTAAAAAATTAGCTCTTAAAATTTTAGCTCATCATATCAATTGAATTTGGTTTATATTTATTAATATCTCTTGTCTTATTACGCTTACTTGATTCTTTCTTTCACAGTTCAAAATTTACGTTCAACATCTTGAACGTAAATTTTGAACATTTCATTCGAATGTAAATTGTTCAAAATTTATCCAAATGTGATTCGCAGCTTTTTCTGAATTTTTTAAAATTTGTATTTTTTAGTAAATCTTATAAATTTTTTGAAACAGTTTTTGAATTGTAACTCATAAAAGTTTTACTATCACCTTAAAGTAATTGCATTTCTAGGCGTGCTGGCAAAAAATTAGTTTTTTTATTCAAAATGTCCAAAGATATACGTGAATTTAAATATTGGCGAGTTTTGAAATTTGGCATATTTTTATAAGCGATAATAACGCCAAATTTTATTTACTCACATTGTTAAAATTATTTGAAAGAATGAATGGTGCACTATTTTTCTCCTTTCGAGCAAAATGTAAAAAGGTAAAAGAAAAATATATCACTAAAAATTAAGAATTTCGCCAAGTGAAATATTTTTGGCGCAAACTGAAAAAGGTGCGCCAGGGTAAAGTTTTTAATTTCTTAGCAAGTTTCTCGCCAAATTTGGCAAAATTAATATTTAGGCATAATCTGAATCGTAGAATCGAAGTATGAAAAAAATCGGTATGTCAGTTCAGAAAAAGCCAAATTTTGTGTCAAAATAACTGTGTTAGAACAATGCTATATATAAATCTAATATACATGCCAAGTCGCGCTTTAGACAGCGTAAAAAACGCCAGTTAACTATTTCGTAAATCAGCGCAGTAAAACAGGAGGTATAGAAATGTCCCCCCATTTTTATGCACAGTGAACAATGAATCCTTGAAAAGGTCTATTCGAATTCAGAGAATCCGTTTATTAGCCCAAAAGGGCCTATTAGTCTCGAAAGGAAATTTTACGTTATTTAACTATAAACGGTGTATAGATTTTTTAAATTGTTGCCACCAAATATTACTGCCCTTTATTCCTTTAAAGCAATTGAATTATGAAGAATCTACATATATGCATATACGTTCTTCGCAGTGTGAAAAAAGAACGGTACCTAGCGAAATTAATTCTGAATAATGTACGCCTCTAGCCGAAAATACACAACTGGAAACCCGAATTTTAAATCTCGAATTTACTTTTTTTATTTGTATCCTATTTTGTAAAACTTTAGTGAAATGAATTTCAGATTAACAAACTTAACGATTTGAAAGCGTGCAGTAACGACACTGTTCGAAATGAAACATCTTTATGCTCCAGCACGCGATACTGTAGGCAGCCAAGAAATGTAACATATTTATTTTTCAATTCTGATTCCCAAACTCGGCTCTTTGAAAGCAATGCATTGTTGCGGCCGGAAATAAAATATTTGTATTTTCAAAGCGCCAACGTGTTGCCATTAACTAAAGCCTAAGATATTTTCACACTTAATCTGGAAGGTTACTGAGTAAAAAACTAAGCGACTTAAAAGCAATAAGCACAGATTTTAAGAATATATATTTTTTTACTTTTAATGTGATCCCGTTAAATAAACATTTATTAAAATCCAGAGTTATCTAATAAAAATATTTAACATTTCTATGAAATATTATTAATAATATTATTACTAGCTGGACTTAATGATATTATTAAATACTTTTTCTTTTTATTCCAAAGGGGCTTTGTCCCTGAAGGACTATTGTTTTCGTTTTGCGATTTTGAGTTGAATCACTATAAATGTCCGTTTCACTTTTTAAACTGTTGCCACCAAACGTTAGAGTCCTGCATTATATTTGAAGAAATTAAATAATGAATAAAACTGCATAAATGTATGTGTATTTCAGACATTGTGATAAAACAACGGTACATAGAGCCATCGAATTTTGAATGACGTAATCCTTCTACGAATATGAGCATGGGGAAGACCAAATTTGAAACTTGGAATTTGTTTTATTATCGATTTCATATTTTCTAAACCTTTAACGAATTTTTGAGTAACAAACTCAACGATTTAAAAACGAGCAATGGCAACACTCTACGGGAGGGGAAAACCTGTTTATTTCCAGCATGTCCAACTGTGTATCGGAAATTCTAAAGACAGGCTCATTTTAAAATTATTTTGCGACATTGATATTGAACTGAATTTTATGGTTTAATAGCAAAGAATGTGATATTTACTATATAAAGATAACCCACAAAACGTAAAATAAATAAATAAATAAGTAAATAAATAAAAAAAATAATTAAAAAAAAGCGCTCCTTTGGACGTAATTTAAAATCTGAAACCTTTCAGATTTTTTTTTTTTTCAATGAAGGCACTGGAAATCTTTCTGAAATTTCCAGCAATTAGCAGATAAACCAAGTTGCGTATAAATATATAAAACTTCAGTTACAGAATATTTGGATTTGACTTTGCTCTATATTACGAACAATAACACCGTCACGAAATGTTCATATTTGTCACGTTTTAACGCACAGATAACTACAGACTTCACATAACGTTTTTGTCAGTATGTGAAATACAAATAAAATTTAAAAGTTAATTACGTACATAATGACTGTAATATGCATTTGCTATCGCAGTAATTGTGTAACCGATTCCTGCTAATGCTGGTGCTATTCGTTTTCTTGGCATACATTTAGGAATTTCTTTAATTTTGAAAAACGTTTTAGATTTTAAAAAGATAAATTTTGATGTACAGAGATCTTAAAAAATAATGTGATTATTTTCCTCACCTTGAAAATGCGTACCACCAAGAAACGGAAAAAATCAAGAAATTCATTTAAATAGCATATATATTTTTTCGTATTGCACCAGATGTGCTTTTGCCAAATACAAAATGTTCCTTTAATTTAAGAATTTCAGTTTAATCTCTCATACGCTCTTAAACTTTATAAGTTTCAATTTAATTGATATGCAGAATTAAACAAATAGTTGTAAGAAAGCAAGGTGTTGTTATTTTCTTTAAAACGACTTTGAATCTCTGTATGTTCCACGCAGAGTTGTTACAAAGCTTTGCTTTACTTTTCAGCTGGAGGTTTTTCCGCCACAGAAATGCTTATATTAGATTAAAGCATCCTAAAATGTTTTTCTTTCCTGTCAAAACACCTCCCTCCAAATATGATACATATAGTAAAATGCGGAAGAAAAGAAAAAAAAAAAAAAAAGATTCTGAAGGCAGATATGTCAAAGATGTAAGGACTAAAAAGTCTTTTTGTTACTGAAAAGCAAGCTTGTTAGGTTTGTACTAGCATTGTCTTTTAAAGGAATATGATATTAGGAGGTACTGGTCAGTGAAACGTATCAGCAATCATGACTGCTTAATCAGAGAGAAAAGAAATAATCGACTGGATTGTTAAAAAAAAAAAAAAAAAAAAATGAAATGTTTCAGATTTTAAATTACGTCCAAAGGGGCGTTTTTTTAACGTTTTGTGTGTTTGTTACCTTTATTTATTAAATATAATGTTCTTTGTACTTAAACCATAAAATTCAGTTCAATAGCAACGTCGCAAACTAATTTTGAAATAAGCATCTTTAG